TGTCGGCAGGATACTTAAACGGCTAATTAAATAGAGTTGTCTATAAAAAGCATTTTATTTCACTTCTTATCATCGCAATACTCAATTATATCTAGGGAAGAGAATAATGATTGTTTTCGATTAGAAGTAAAAGGAAAGGAAACGGGTTCCATAATACATGGAATAAGCAAGAAAGCAAATAGTGCAGTATGCATTAAGATAAAAACTGCATTTTTTCACCCTTGAAGGACAAAACTACATTTTGCAACTAAACATATATTTGAATAAAGATTAATTTTTACAAACTGGGAAAATAAAACAGAGTGAACACTTAGTACCATGTTACATAGTACTGATAGTATCAACATCATCATCTATAAGATGGAAATAAAAAGTTAACAATTTCTTTAAAACCGATTTAAAGGAAGAAAAAAAATACTCTTCTTCATTAACCTGTATGCTACTTAAAGGGACAAACCTACATTTTGCAACTAAACCTATATTTGAATTAAGATTTTTTTTACAGATAGGGAAAATAAAACAGAGTGAACACTTATTATATGTTTGACACTTTCAATCATAAATAGAAGTGTGTCATTTTACCGAAAATTCATCATCAGTTTATTTAATTAGAACTCATCCTTAAAAGGAATTCGTTAGAAATCAATAATCAGTTAATTACCTCAATAATAACATGAAGTAATAATTAGGTAAAAATATTAACATAGCATGCTTTTCATAGGAACAAAGTGGAACTTGTTATGATTTTATAAGTTGAAGAAAAGGATTTACAAAAAAAAAGTTTTTTTCACTTCTTGTCATCATGACCCTAGAAGATAAAAACTAAAGAAAAATATATTAATGAAAGTTTAAGAGTTGGAATTCAAAAAAGTTAAAATTCACAATATAAGCATGTACGAAGAACATATATATACCTCCATGGTGGAATAAGCGATTGGAGTGTCCATAGACTGAATTGAAGCATCCTTATACCTACCGGCTCGACAAATTAAGAAATAATACACTTTCAATCAATGTATAAAGACAAAGAAATCAATCAAAATAACAAATATTTTTCTTAACTTTGAATATTTTTCACACACCATACTTTTCTATCACATTCCCTTTGATTCGTTTTCCCCATTGATAGGGAATATCATATCCAAATGCATGCTATTAAGAAACTAATCCAAAAGTTAAGAGATTATCACACAAAATGTTTTCAGATTAATAGTTTTCTTCACCTAAACATTTTATCAAACAGGTTATATGCAAAGTATTAAAAGCACCTATACCACAGAATCTAGGTCTAGTTGCCTACAGTCATGTAGTTTTTTTATAAAGAAGAACGAATAACACATGGATCAACAAATGTAAAACTCATCATCTTTAACCACAAACACCATATTGTTTCAGAGTTGAAGTAAATTATTTTTACTATATTCAAATTCAGATGAGGCAGAACTTACGAAGAATTAGGGAGAGTTGGTGTGGTTGGGGCGGGATGCTTTCTATTCAAGGGATGCTTTCTATTCAAAATCACTATCACAGCCATAATGAATCCAGCTTGATGAGGATGCAAATCCCAGAAGTAATGCCGATCCGTTTCTGCAAGTCGCCGGAGTAGTGCTTGTTGGTGAAGGGGACCAAATCTCTGAGGGAGTTCACTTTGTTGTAGCTCAGCCGGAGGTACGCCGGGCACCGACGATCTCGCTCGTTGATCTCGTACACACACAGCTCTTGAACCTTGGGATCTGCTGGAAATACGAAAACCAAATCATATTTAATTTTTCTTAACTTATGGATTAAATTTCAGAATAGGTTTCAAATTTTGAAGAAATTTCAAGTATTCAAAATGGGTTCCAAAATTTCACTACAAAATCTAAAAAAAAAACTGAGAATTTTACTCTGACCTCTGGTTAATGAAAATGTTGATTCAGATTGGACGGCGTTGCTCTGGCTCTTGACGGAGAAGAGTGGCCTTTTAGCTACGGTAGCAGTGGAGAGCGAGAGGGGTTTTGAGACGGAAGATTGAATGAAGGAACGGAGAGGTTTAATTGAAGCCGGAGAAGAAGCGGCGTGTGCGGAGGGAATAATCTTGGCCGGAGGAGTATAAATGGCTGTCGGAGGGATGAAAAGTGAAAGCTCTGACCATACTTAAAATACAAATCATACTTAAAATATTAATCTATAAACTCAATAGTATTCATCACTTTGAACTTCAATATGTAGTAAAAATAATGTAAAGATGTAGGAGTGAGATCACATACAAACTAGTCCTCTCATTCAAATCATCTTTACATTATTTGTATTGCACATTGAACTTCAAAATGTTTCATATTATTCAAGCTATAAAATAACAGTTTCATATTTACATTATTTGTATTGCATATTGAAATTCGAAGAGTGCATCTTTAAATTATTTGTACTGCATATTGAAGTTCAAAGTGTTGCATATTATTGAGTTTGAAGGTTAGTAAGTTAAGCATGGTTTGCATGTGATCTCACCCCTATAGATAGATATATAGATATAGATATAGATATATATTTTGCCAACTTTATATTTTTGTATATCTTGCTAACTTTGTCATTTTCTCTTTTAAGTACAAAATTTGTGATCCAGTTAATTTTCTCTGCTCTGCACAAACCTCTATCACACAGCTTTTACTTTATTAATCCCGGGTGACAAGTTAAACTAGGGGTGGGAAAACCCGAACCGAAACCCGGAAACCGGCCCTGGCCCGGCCCAAATTATGATATCGGTCCGGGTTTTTTCTTTTTGACCGGCCCGAATAAAAAAACCGGACCGAACCCAAAATTTCGGGCTCTTTAACGGGCCCTAAAATCTATAACCCGGCCCGGACCGATAAAACCTGAAACAATTAGCCTTAATATAAAATCATTATAATATACCAATATAATTTATAAATTAATTCCTAATATATGATTTAATCATGTTTTCCATCATTTTCAATGGAGCCAAAGACTCACCATTTTCAATGAGGCTATTCACCTTCTTAGACAAGTTGTGGAGAAGTATAGAGACACTAAAAAGGATCTGCATTTGGTGTTCAATGACTTAGAAAAGGCATATGATAGGGTACCTCGAGAAGTTCTTTGGTGGGCCTTAACTAGAAAAGGCATATCACGTAAGTATATCAGCATCATCATGGATATGTATGATACTTGTACTACAAGTGTCCGCACTAGTGTAGGGAGGACCGCAGAGTTCCCTATTACTATTGGAGTGCACCAAGGATCTGCTCTGAGTCCTTTCTTATTTGCTTTAGTCATGGATGAACTTATGAAGTCAATTCAAGAAGATATACCGTGGTGCATGATGTTTGCCGACGATATTGTATTGATTGATGAGACACAATCCGGTGTTAAAGCAAAGTTGGAAGTATGGCGACAAACATTGGAGAGCAAGGGTTTCAAACTGAGCCAAAGCAAGGCTGAGTATATGGAGTGCAAGTTCGGTGGAGGTAGAAGCGGTAGCAACAGTGGGATTACTCTTGATGGTAAGGAGATACTGGTGTGTGATATGTTCCGTTACTTGGGATCCATAATTCAGAAGGATGGTGAATTAGATGGAGATGTATGTCATAGAATCAGAGCTGGGTGGATGAAATGGAAAAGTGCTTCAGGATTTCTATGCGATCGAGGTATGCCGACTAAATTGAAAGGTAAATTTTATCGTACGGCAATTAGACCGGCATTAATGTATGGCGTAGAGTGTTGGGCGGTGAAGCAATGCCACATTCAAAAGATGAGTGTGACAGAGATGCGTATGTTGCGTTGGATGTGTGGACATACCAGAAAAGACCGCCTGAGGAATGAGGTAATCAGACAAAAGGTGGGAGTAACACCTATAGAAGATAAGATGCAGGAGTCTCGTTTGCGGTGGTTTGGGCATATGCATAGAAGACCGAGTGATGCACCTGTTAGACGACTTGAGGGGTGGAGAGAAGAGTTAGAGAAGAGAGGGAGGGGAAGACCCAAACAGACTTGGATTAGAGTAATCAGAACTGATATGCGTCTTCTTGGGTTGGATGAGAATATGGCTTTGGAGAGAGCAAAGTGGAGGGCGCACATCCATGTGGACGATTGATGTCTTCTAGCTTTTTTATGTTCTTTTATTTATTTTTCTTTTATCTTGGTTATATTCTTGTGTTATTATTATCTTATATTTATGTATCTTTATTTTATTCATTTTATCTTACTTTTTTTTCCTTTTCTTGTCCGCCTTCTCTTTTTGGCATCGATATCATAGATCGATTCATGTTAGTCGACCCCAAATTCTTTTGGGATTAAGGCTTGGATGTTGTTGTATATGATTTAATCATGATGGACGAAAAAATGACTTAATAACTTTTAGTGACTACAAATATGTTCAATTTATTTACGGTAATGAGCATGAAAACATATTTATAGTAACTTTAGTCACATTTTTATCCATAAATTTTATTTCATACGGAGTAACATTTTTAGAACACCTATATTACTTATTTTTATGCATCTTAAACAAAATATTATGATAATTGTCTTCTTTGGATTTGAATTCGTGGTGATTTTGGAGACTAATATTTGTGATTTTTAATAATTTTATTTGCGGTTTGTACTTTTTATTGATTTTATTTGAAAATAGATTTTAAAATATAAAAGAAAAATGAGTGATTTCACATTCAGGCTTTAACCGACCCAACCCGAACCCGTACCGAACCCGGGCTACAAAAAATCCGACTCAGACAAAATATAGTGGACTTTTTTCGGTCCCTAATTTTCGTAACCCGATGTTTTACGGGTAATTTACGAGTTTAGCAAAAACCCGACCCCGACCGGATCGATCCCACCCTAAGTTAAACTTGACAAAGTTTAGTTAAACTTGACAAAATTTGAAGAGAAGAGGGAATATCAGTTATTACTAATTTGGCAATACTCTCATGTTTGCGATTTGCTCGACAAGCTAGGTAGTTGGTAGGTACTCTACTCACATTCAATCAATCAATCAATCAATGAATGGAGGAAGAAAAGTCAGAGAGAAATGGAGTAATTGCATTATAAGATTGCGTTGGAAAATACTGTCATCCCCTCCCAAAAGGATCGGAACTCCAAAAAGAGAGAGATGGCGGAGGACGGGAAAGATATCGAAGGGAATGGAGGAATCAGGGCGGCGCTCATCCCAAAAGAAGACAGATGCATGGTTTACCTCAGTACATTTGTTGCCGTCTGCGGTTCCGCTGCATTTGGATCTTGTGTATGTCGTCAACTCTACTCTGTATCTTTCTTCATTCATTTTCCCATTTTCAGTGATCCATGTCATTATGTCAAGTACTTACAATCTCCCGGTTATTATGTATTTTCAGATCGGATATTCATCCCCCACTCAATCTGCCATCAGGGAAGATCTCAACTTCTCCATTGCCGAGGTCAGTTCAAAGCTCTCTAAATGATTTCCTCCCGCTGGTCTCGGCCAAATTCGAAATTCTCTCTATGCCAAAATGTATTGCATTGAAACGTGGGAGTCATGGGGAAACGTGAAAAGGACGCCATTTTTTAATAGTAACAACTTTTGGAGAGTTGGCTAAAAGCTTCTGAAAAGGAAACGTACTATTTCCCCACCGTTTCCGGCTTCATAACTTCATTAGTATGTAGTATCATATGCTAATTTCAATTGTTAGATCATTTCAATGATTCAGTTTCACTTCATATAGATATAAACCAAATGACCCTTTTCATTCGAATAGTAAGATTATATCAACGCTTTCAGTTCTTTTATTAGAACCGATGTATAGCGCATATTAAGTAATAATAGTCTCAAAGTATTTGAATATTAGAGTAAAAATGGCTAAAATGTTGAACGTATGCAGTACTCGCTGTTTGGATCCATAGTAACGTTTGGTGCAATGGGAGGCGCAATCACAAGTGGTCCTATAGCAGATTACGTTGGTCGGAAATGGGTAAGCTAGTTTGCCTAGATCTATGCATGGTATAAATGAATAAAGATTTACCTTGTGGAACTTGATGTGATCCGATCTTTGGGGTGATGACTTTTCTTTTACCATGAATGGCTCAAAGGCAATGAGAATATCAAGTGTTATCTGTGTGGCAGGATGGCTGTCCATTTACTTTGCCAAGGTTTGTCACTAAACTCAGTAAAATAAACTATTCACTGCAAGAGATAACAATTAACAATGTATGAGTGAACTGGTTGTAATTTAATGTGAATGCTTGCAGGGGGCTTTGCAGATGGATATTGGAAGGGTGGCAACTGGATATGCAATGGGAGTCTTTTCTTATGTGGTACGTTTATTATTCAATTCAATTAGTTAGTAAGAAGTCTGAACTTCAGTTGGACACTTATTAGAATAACTAATTTATTCAATGCAACCTTTCATTTAGTGTTGTTTGAAACTTGGACCAATGTGCAAAATATGAATTCTTGTCCAACTTAGTGACAGATATGCAAGTACAGAATTAGTTGTCCTAACAGTTACCTCATAGATTCACTACCCTTTACGACACTACTATTGTACTCTTACATGAGCTAAATATAATCTGATGGAGTGAGGGTATGGTAATAATTTCCAGTGATAGAGTACTTCAGGAGATAACTGTATTCCTTTGTATCATTACTCAACTTACACGTTATATGACTTAAATCTAAGCTTGATGCAAGTTTCTATTTTTTTTTTTGCCACCATGGAAAACGTGAATCAGGTTCCAGTTTTTATAGCAGAAATTGCACCCAAAGAATTGCGAGGAGCATTGACAACCTTAAATCAGGTGAGCAATTATGTCCATGTTTGGGTACACACACAAAAAGGGTAACCACCACAGACTCCTTTCTACTGATTTGGCTTGATTTGATATATAAATATTACACCCTCCGTCCCACTAGGATCCTCCCATCTTTCCTTTTTGGTCTGTCCAACTAAGATTGTTAAATACGAAATTTGGTAATGTTTGCGTGGTACAAAATCATTCTCACTTTATTTTCACTTCATCAATTCAATATCAACTACATAAACTCACTTTTCTTGGTAACCGCACCACCTTCTCTTTACTTCAATTCACTCATTTAAGCTGCAGGTCGCCAAACAAGGCTTTTAGCAAAGGGCACAGCAAAGCGGGCCTTGAAAGTAGTATAATAAAAATTTAAAGTTTAAGAAGCAAGAAAGAGCAAAAGAGTACATTTATAGCAGAGTTTGGCATTTTGTTTACATCCAATGAAAAAGGTTCAGTTGGATATATATCATATCATGTCATAATCTTGAAGTCAAACTTTATCTGCAGCTTATGATAATCATTGGAGTATCAGTGGCCTTCATTGTTGGAACTGTGCTGACATGGAGGAATTTGGCTCTAACAGGTTCAACTTATTTTAAATAAAGCTCGATCGTTAGGTTACTAATGGAAAGCAGAAAAGGAAACTACATGAGTACAGGGGAAACAACACCAACTGGAAGAAATGTTTTGAGAATCACCTTTGGGAAAATAAGAACTGGTAGAATGTTTGAGAATCACCTTTTTCTGCTTTCTTTCAGGAATAGTTCCATGTGTCATTCTTATGTTGGGTCTCCTCATCATTCCTGAGTCTCCAAGATGGCTGGTGAGAAAGTCATAAAAGTACTAGTTACTAAAAACAACTTTGTCCAATTATAAGGCAATAAACATTGGGATAACCACTATTATATGAATAAATCATAACACGTTTGTTCAAATAGAAGCGTCCCTTTCCCCCTGAAAACTCAATCACTCGTAAAAGAATTATTATTATTTACTTTAAATCTTTTGCTAGGACTGAATGAGTTCTATTTTCATCATAAAACAAGGAAACTCCTATTTGTGCATGTGACCCATTTTTACTCATATTGGCAGTCATTTCTTATAAAACCTCTAGACCACATAGATACGATGTTTGATGTGTAGGCAAAGATTGGACACAAGAAAGAGTTTGAAATTGCACTACAGAAACTCCGTGGCAAAGATGCTGATATATCTGAAGAGGCAGCTGAAATTCAGGTTCATGCTTCTACAACCTTGTTGATTTAAAGTCATTCGGCACTGGACATACAAAATTTTTGCTACTCCTATTAGCTTGATCTCTTTGGATTAAATATGTCTTAATAGTTTTCAATAACATGAGCAGAGTTTCGAAATGACTTGTGATTATGGCATTGCTTGGCAGGATTATGTAGAAACCCTTGATAAGCTCCCCAAAGCAAAACTACTCGATTTGTTTCAAAAACGATATTTACGTTCAGTCACTGTGAAGAACTCTCTCTCACTGGTTGTTTGGTTTATTTAAGAGCACATTAGTGTGCTTTGAGTTCCTCATATAGTTCATTATTTCATGGCCAGATAGGAGTTGGTCTAATGATATGCCAACAATTAGGTGGAATTAATGGAGTCTGTTTCTACGCTAGCAGTATATTTGAGTCTTCAGGTAGCCCTATCTGCAACTTGTAATACATGATCTTGACAAAACTCAAAATCTTGAATGCTAAAGCTAGGAAGAAACTTACATCAACGTTTGGAAATCTTATCTCACTAATGCATCTATTATCTTGCATCACGAACTAACCAATTTAGTTGATTTTCAGGATTTCCTTCAAATGTGGGAACTATAACCTATGCAATTATTCAGGTTACAATTTATTACTCTACCATATTGAGTTGGTGGACTTTTATTTTTTATTTTTATTTTCATCCTTAAATCCTTTGATAGGTTATAGTCACTGCACTGGGTGCAACTTTTATAGACAAAGCTGGAAGGAAACCTCTTATATTGGTATAACCTCAATAAAAGGATACCATTTGATTCAAAATATTGCTCCTTAACTATTTATTTTCACTTCACAAAATGGAAGGCTACACTCGATCACAAAAAATGGAAGGCTACACTGATTTTATATATCACTGCTATTTCATTGTAGGTTTCTGCTGCAGGACTTGCTATCGGCTGTCTACTAACGGGCAGCTCATACTATCTTAAGGTCAATGTTGAGCCAACGGTGTTTATTTTTCCTATACCTTTTCCCTAGCCTTAACAAAAATAATTGTTCTTTGGATTAGGGACATAACATTGCAGGCAATGCAGCACCTATATTTGCTCTAGCAGGCATACTGGTCAGTGTTATTATTCTTACACACACACAACTATATATAGAGGTGGTGCTTCCCTTGAGAAATACGAATAGTGCATATAATGGTGTACCATGGTGCACTTTTATGTGTCCAGTGACGCAAATGCCATTAAAGTTCCATTTATTAACAAAATGCCACCATGTTTTTGATCAATCACACTATGCTTTTTTGGAGCCCTTAGATTTAAAATTCAATGCACTAGATTCATTCTCACTTTTCAAAGGAACTTGTTCATTTGAACCAAAATCTAAATGTATATAGAGAGGGAGGGGGGGCGGGGGGGGGGGGGGGGGGGGACAAAAAGATGATATTTTTATTTAAGTAGCTGCTGAGGCTCTTAGATTCTGACTTATATGGCTAAAGTGGATGTCACCTGACGTGTTTCATACATACATAAAATTCAACAGATTCAGTTCAATAACCCTTGCCAAATGCACCTTTCACTCATAAGTTAGTGTTATACTAATTGTTGTTCTTGAACAGGTGTACATAGGGTCATTTTCGGTGGGAATGGGAGCAGTTCCATGGGTTATCATGTCTGAGGTATACATGTAAAATAATGACACTCTTATACTCCCTCCGGTCCCAAATGAAATTCACACTTTCCTTTTTGGGTAGGTCCACAATAAACTTCATACTTCTTCTCCCTTCCTTATTTGGCAAATTATCTACATCAAAACAGTGCAAAATAGTGTCAAACAGTGTCACAACAATGTACTCTACGGTAAAGTCAAATTTATTTCCTTAATTTGTGTGAAGTCAAAGTGTGAATTTCATTTGGGACCGGAGGGAGTATTTACTTTCCAGCAATGCATATGTGACCTATGTCATTCTTCTTTCCAGATATTTCCTATAAACGTCAAAGGTGTTGCAGGGAGCCTCGCCACACTAGTAAACTGGTTTGGCGCATGGTTATGTTCCTATACTTTCAATTTTCTCATGGCTTGGAACTCCATAGGTAAGGAGCGTCAATCATCATTTCCTTATGAATTCAGATAATCTTGAAAGCCTGAATCTTTAAGAGAAGCTACCAGAAATAACTGAAATGGGAAAACTTGTATGCTAATTTCATTATAAAGGTTAAGAGCTATATACTTTTACTCCTCTTATCTTCTCCTTTCATGGTTGAAGGTACTTTTATGATCTATGCTGCAGTAAACGTGATTGCAGTTTTGTTTGTGATCAAGATAGTGCCTGAAACAAAAGGGAGAACTTTGGAGCAAATACAGGCTACCATTAATGCATAAACTCATAAAAAAGACATCCAATGCTTCATAGAAATTCCAAGGCATCAGCAAATGTGTAAGATGGCTGATGCTGCGTAACACATTCCACAAAACTCTATAAGGTTTATCAGAAAAAAATATAAGCAAAGTATTTATTTTTCTTGTATTTGTGCAATGTATCTCAAAATACCACAATGCCGCAAAGTATTTATTTTTCTTGTATTTGTCTGTTAAACGTTTATAATAGAAGAGGAATTATCTTTTTGTTTTCACTTCTCTAATAATGTTTCGGGAAGCAGGCCTCAGATTTAGACGCTTGATATCCTTTATATTTTTTCCTTGAGAAAAATAGTACGGAGTATGTTTTCTTTAATGTATTTTCCTTATTAAAAGAGGAAGTATATCTTCTTGGTAACCTTTATGTCATTGAAAAAAGCTCTCTTTGACTTGGATCCTAGGGGTGGGCGCGGTCTGGAACGATCCGGTAAATTGGTAAAACCCGTAATGTATCCGTGAGGTTGTTAACGGTCAGGTGCAGTCCGGTTCCAAGGATAGAACCGTTCGGTACCATGTCGTTTCGGAACCGTATAAAACGGTACGGTACAATGCCAAACACATGCTAAAATTTCTGAACAAATCTTGCAATTAGTAGATATCATCACACCAACCAACTAACATGAAATGTTGAAATAAATACAAGAAATTGCATACCTAGTACTAAAATTCACAAATACACAAATAGTGCAACACAACTAAGAAAAAGTATAGCAAAACGATGACGCACGAGATAAATGTCATTTTTAATTTACTAAGTTCATGAAAAAATATTAAACGAATATCATCAAATTGTTGAATATAATAGAAATCTTCAACGTTCTTCTTCTTCGTTCTAGGTTAAATATTACTCCAAAGTTCTAATTTAATTTATAGTTGAACCTTGAGAGCTAAGATTTAAACCATATTAATTAAGTTGTAAAAAATGCACAAACATGATACAACAAAAAGTCATGTACACTACATTACTAGAAATAAATAATCATTAATGATTTCTAAAATTTTAATATTCTTTCAAAACATACCAAAATATGACATAAATTATCTAAAAAGAAAAACTAACAATAATTGGGGACACATGAATACATATTTTATGAACTGAAAAGAAAAATTAACAATATATAAACAACACATTTTAGATATCTTAGGGACACATGAATACATATTTGGGGTATAAAATTGTTGGTCTAGATCTATTGATATAGAAAGAATATAAAAAAATCCAAATGCATTATTTACGAACGGTTCGGTCCGGTATTTTTCGGTTCTCAAAATCTAGGACTGGTCCCGTACCCGTTTCAAACGGTACGGTTTCGGTACGAGATAAAAATCTATAGAACCGTTTAAATACCCGGTATTCGGTTCGGTACCATTACGGGACGGTTCGGTACCGGTTCGGTTCGGGTTTTATGCTCACCCCTATTGGATCCGGTGGTGGCCCTTAGGGCTAAGCATCTGTCCACGACCGAACAGGATTATTCCAGTTTTGAGTCTTTTACCGGCCGGAACCGGTATTAGACTGGATTTTTAATTTCATTATTTTTTATAATGTTTCATCTTTAAAAAAATAGTTTTGATTGTCCAAAAGTTTTCTTATTAGCTTGTTTCTTTTTTTTTGATGGTTTATGTGTGATCTTTCCTAATTTATTTTTTTACATATATAATACATTACTCCCTCCGTCCCATTAGAAGGTTCACATTTTCCTTTTTTGGACGTCTCATATAAAGGTTTTCATTTCTATTTCAGGAAACAATTAACAATCTTAAGTGAAAAATAAATCATTAAATATTAAAAATAATACATTTATAACATCACAATTATCAATACTAACTACATTATACAGTAATATATACCTATTAAAATTATTTCTCAAAATATACTCAAAGTATTTTATTTAATTATTGCCTAAATAACCTTGCCGTTTTGCTATGGGAATCTTCCAACGAGACGGAGGTAGTATAATACATCAAACAAGTACAAATAAACACATAAACTTCACCTAGTGGAAATATGAAAATTATCTGATTTAATTTTGACTGCATCTAAAATCATATACTTAGTATATGATCATGTTGGTCCAACAAATTGATGTTCCTTCTTCGACCAATTTAGTGAATGATTTGACTCAATGACTTTGCATTTTTAACGAAGAAGAATTGAATCGATCACGATATGTATTACATAGTATCATTCTAGCTCCTAAGGTTTTTAAGTTATAAAATTTCACTCGTGTAAATACTCCCTCCGTATTTAAGGAGGAAATAGTATGAATAATAAATAGAGTAGAAAAAATATTATAGTATGTGTAAACGTACGAAATGGAAGATAAAAAGTAGAAAAGGTTAGGATAATTGAGTATTTTTAAAGAGTTTTTCCATTTTTGGTCCCCCGACTATTATGTCAATGACACTTTTGGTACTCGACTTTTAATTTTTCCATTTTTAGTCCTCGACTATAGTGCTAGAAACACTTTTAGTCTCCGACTTCAAGATTTCCCACATTTAGTCCCTAAGTATTGTCAAATCGACACTTTTAGTCCCCCCATTATGATTTTGACACAATAAGTAGAGGACTAAAAATGTCACTATTATAATAGTTGAAGAATCAAAAGTGTCACTATTATGAAAGTTGAAGGACTAAATATGGAAATTTTCAAAGACGGGTATCAAAAGTGTCTCTAGCGCAATAGTCAAGGACTAAAATTGGAAAAAATCAAAGTCGAATACCAAAAGTGTCTATGGCATAATAGTCGGAGGACTACAAGTGGAAAAAACTCATTTTTAAATGAAAAAGTTAATAAAAAGGAGAGTAACAAACTCTTAAATACATCATGAATAGCTATATGGTGGAAGGATTGCTCTCTAGAGATAAAGCAATAGCTGATACACAGGAGGGACTGAGGGAGAACTTAGGAAGCGCAGAATGTTAGAAGTTAGAACCGAACGCTAAGAAGGTGTCCAGGCCGGTATGGAGGTACATGGAGAAGATCCAAAAAACGGGTCGATGGTGTTGGAGAAGAGAAACTAGCATAGGAGAAGCATGAGCAAAAATGTTTGAACAACGGAGAGGCAATGGTCGGCTCGTTTCCTTTGGTGGTGGCTAGTCAAACCATGGATTCCTTCCGGAAGGCTGGAAAAGCTGAACATTTCTTTATTCTTGTTATGACAATTTGACTCTTTTCTTGTTTCCTTGGAGTAGCAAATGTAGCAAGGGTTGGCGAACTGAAAGGCTATTAAGCGGTTGTCCATGCCACCCTAGAGTAGCCTATGACATGTTTGTCTTGCTTCTTTTTACCTTTATCATGAATTACTAAGTTATCTTTTTTTTTTTTCAAAAATTCAAAAAATAAATAAAAAGAAAGTGTTGAACAACCCTTTCAATCGATCGGAGTGAGTTCCCTACAGTTTCCCTTATACAAACATACATGCTTGCAGTTATTTAAGAAACAAACATCATTTATAACCATAAAATTGTAGCTCATCAGTAATTTGAGCAATCACAACCGGACTTGCTGCATAGCAAGCAACATATGCCGTTTGTCTTGTCCAAACTCCAGCATCATATAAGCCCAAAGTTTTCTTTGTTAATTAAGGCCCCATTTGGTAGCATTTATCAGTTTATAGAGATTATTTTGTTTATCCGCACATATACCGAATAAGCAGAACAATCAAAACATAATTCTTTCACTTATTTCACCAAAATCGATTTTATCACTTTTTCCCTCTCAAGAGATCATCCAACTATGCCAAACAACTATTACCAAACAGAGCCTTAAATCATCACAGTAAATGGGGAGGCAAGATCGCAAGACTACTACGACTCTTGTATCATCTATGATGATGTATCTCAAGTCTTAGCAGTTGAAATTTACAAAGCCCACTTAAAAGGCAAAAAATGCTCCATCCACATTCACACCATAGCTTTTTCTCTAGTTTAAATCTCTGTTCTATTCTGTTTTCCCCCTCTCCAGGCTCTCTCAAGCATTGTTACTTCTTAGCTGTAAAATAGAGGAAAAAATAGAACCGATGAATGTCAATAGCTTCCTACCCTTTACCCCCTCAAGGTGCTAAGATGGAGAAGAATATAGCACATTGATCCGTTTCTTGATTAGCGTTCTACAAGATGGGCAATCATTCATTCCCTTCTTCTCATGAAGAATGTTGCACTCTGTGCAAAGGACCTGATGCGCACACGGCAAGAATACCACCATAACTTCCTCAGCCAAACACATCACACACTCTCTCTCTGGCTTAACGCTTCCATCTGCCAGCCTTTGTTTAATCAACGGGTTCTGTGGGCTCGGCTTGCCAATGCCTCTCCGAAGTGCCTCTATCTTTGAAGCTTCAGACTCTAACCTTAGTCCGGAGATCTCACTTTCAAGCTTGTCAATCTCATTCTTACGCTTCTGCATGGTTCTTTCAGCAATGACTCTAATATTTTCCTCCTCTGCTTTAGCTTGAGATCCCAGATACTCTCTTTCACCCTGGAGAGAATCAACCATCTTAAGAAGTTCTTGTTTCTCCTTCCTCTGCTGTTCAAAGAGATCCTGAAATGCTCTTCTTGTCAGTAATGGGAAAACAATTGTACAAATGAAAAAGTAAATTATCTTAGTCTGTTTGGAACCCATAAAATGCCAGGGAAACTAAAGAAAATTCCAAGGAAAGTTGCTTTCTTATGTTTGGATTTACCTCAAAAATGCAAAAGTAAATGAAAATCGCTTCATACTACTATGACCGTAAGGACTGTTTTGATATTTTCAGACTACTATGACCAACAGGGTGGACACACTTTCTCAATTTCTAATCAAAAAATGCGAAAGAACTCTTACCTCCTACTTAAGTAATAGAGAATCTTTGAATACTACCATTTAAGAAGAAAAACCTAATATAGAGGTCAACCTCTCAAAAGATGGTTTTACATGTATCCAATACTCTGGAGCTATAGGTTATGAAGGTGTTTTAGGCTTTTAGCCGAGAAAATCTTTTCATCTTCGGAAGATGATTTCCTTGGCCACGCTTTGGGTAGTGAAAAGAGGCCCCCTATTTCGTCTATGGAGCATCTATGGGACTCTGATTCAAATCAGGATATCTGTAACAAAGTGTCTGGTCACAAAAGAAAACTACTTACCTACGTTGAACTTAAATACTCAAATTAAAATATACAAGAAAAGGCATTGATGGTCACATAGGATGAGAACAAGATCCCAATCTCGTTTTGAATAAGAGCAGGGAGATACTAGGGAGGGTCTCTTGATTACATCTAGGGTTGGTTTGATATGATCTTGTATTTCTTGTTTTGCACTTTCTTTTTCTTACTTTGTTTTATCTTTCTTACATGAAATTTCTCTATTTTTCATGAATAAAAGTTCCATTTTCCGTAAAAAAAAAAAATAGTATTTCTATAATAGAAATAAATAAATGAAAATGAATACAGTCATATATTACAAACTAGTTTATTGATTTTGAACCAATACTTTATTTTCCTCGACATTTTATTTCCTTTCAAATATTTCCTATATTTGTGTGCCTGTTTTATTTTCATAGCATTTTCATTGTTGATTCTTAGTGTTTATTTGACCCTGAAATGTTAGGCAAAGAGAATATGGTGGAAAAAATTGAGGAAGACCCGATGTATAGAAACTAAAATAAAGAGATCCTGAAAACGTTGTGCATTATCTTAATGTATTGAGTGACCAAATTTTGTTTCCCCCCACATTTTCTTTCCCTCCAATTTCCCCTATATTCCTTCCTATTTTCTTCTCTTTGCAGTTTCCGGATTCCAAACATAACCTTAGGCAAGAAACCAGAATGTGATATTGCAGGGCAATGGGAACATAATAGTTCTTTAGATCCAGCTGATATATTAACTTCATAAATTTTAAAAAAATTTGAAATGCAAGTATACAAGCATCTTCAAGTCACTGAGTAGTTTAAAATGAAGGAAAATGAAATCAATCAACAAAAGATCCAATATCAATCCAGGCGTTACAATAATTCATTCATTCTTGATTTCTTGCAAATGAAGCATACATACCTCAATCTGATTCATGCGTTTCAAAGCTTTCTCTAATTGCTGCTGTAATTTGACCCCTTCACATTTCATAGCAGTTAGCTCTTCCTGCAACAAACTCTTCTCCACCTCCCACGCTTGACACCTCTTCAGTCCAGCTTGCTCTCTCACCATAGCTTCCTGCAACTTTCTAGAAGATTCCAGAGAAAGCAATTTCGCAGCCTCCATCTTCTTTTCCAACACAGCATGTTCCGCCTCAAGCCTCTGAAGATAAGAGGAAGCAGCATCCATCTGCCCACTAGCATTGGACAAAGCATGCTCCATCTCAGAGAGCCTCTTCACAGTGTTTTCCTCAAGGTTATGTTTATCCTTTTGGAACCTTTCAGCCTCATCTTTCTCTTGCCTCAACAGTCTCAGCTCAGCTTGGTCCTTTGTTAGCCTTCGGGTGGCCTGCATGACCTTCTCATTAGCCCAATCAGTCCAACCTTGGATCTCTTTCTCCAGCTTCTGCAGGTGTGGAACCAGTATCAAAACAACCTCATCTTTCTCATTTTGAGGAACATATTTCCCTAAAGATTCATCATATGGTATGCCGGCGTAATAAGAGGACACATCAGGAAGTGCAAGAACAGGGTCTTGTATAGGTGCAGTGACATTTCCAGATTTACTTGTCTTTGTTGTGACAGTTGTCTTAGAGTAGGTGACTTTAGTACACGTAGTAGAAGAAGAGCCAGTTTGAGGGTTCAGGGTCTTATCCAGAAGCATTCCGCCCCAAGATGTGATTTTGGCCTTAAAACCCCCCTTACCAAAACGGCCCTTGTAAGTCTTCTCGAAAGGAAACGGCTTTTGCCTTAAGAGGTCTTTCTTGGAATGAAGTGAGCATCCCTTCCGACTGGCCACAGATTTTTCTTCTGAGACAGCAGCTTGGGTTACTGTCTGAATAATATCTCTGGCAGCCCCTATGGACTTACCATCCATTTCCATAAGAGAAAACGGACCTCCGTCTTTACTACTAATAGTAACATCACGAAACCGGGAATATTTTAGTAGATGAGGGGCAGCGGGACCCGGCACAGATTTATTTGAAAGATTAGGTTTTTCTTGGTTTGAACTGGTTTTAGAAGCTTCCGGGTTTGCTACTTGATTAAAGAACTCGCACGAAAGATCTGCTTTCACTGCGCATGCATGTAACAAATTGAGATCACAAATCAGGAGGACCCACATTGCTTCGGCGACAGTTAAGAATGGCTTGATCTCCCTTAACACACAAACCATCTCCAAGATTGCATACTCCACTAGACTATCAAACTCCTCGAATAATTGATACCTAGTTCCCAAATTCTTTTCTTTAGTTAATAGATCCAACGCGCCATCAACAACATTAGACACAGCATCCTTAATACCATGATAAAGCCCACTCCTCAAAACAACAGATTCTGCAAGTTCTTGAGTGTACCCACACTCGACTATCTTCTTGACTGCAGTCTGGAAAGTTGCATGCAGATTGTGTGTTAGAAGCTTTTCTATCTCGCATGCAATGGGATCATCCCAATCAGCTTCTTGTGTTTCTATATCAGATTTTTCATCATGCGAGTCTGGATGAAGATTGAGAGATGCAAACTTGCTTAGTGTGCTGCGGAGTTTTTCCTCTAAAAGTTCATATCTAGGGAATTCTGTTAGAGACAGAGGTGGCGAGTCTATAGGAATGTCTAAAGGGAACTCAGACAAAAACTTCCTCTTGTTCCTATTTCCATTACCTGGAGTGGAGACAGACTGAGAGTTGTCATTGTCATTGTTGCCATCATCATCAATGGCTTCCATTTCCTTGTTGGTGATGGTTTCCTTTGAAATGTCTTGATTGCTCATTCTTTGGCTACAATCCCAAAGAAATGGGAAAAATTCTTTAAAATGGTCGTGAAGTAAAAATAATACAGATACAGAAACACTATAACGTATGTTTGGGAGTTGAATTTTGAAAGGGAGAGGTAATTTTCTATTTAAATAAATGAAGAGAGTTACAATATTTAGTTTAATACAAATAAATGACTGGATTCCTGAGTATGCAAATTCACCATTTTACTACGTATATCTTATATTTTGAAGGAAAAAGTTGTCAAGTTAAAGTTATTTCTTATTTAGGTGAAAAATAACCCCCTACATCCCCTTCCCCTCACAAACATAGCCTGAGAAGAATTACAGATTTCTCACTCCAGATAGATATACAGAATGTGCGTAAATCCAAGTTTGGATTGGGGTTCGCTTTAACAACTAAACGGGAAGAAGCAAAAGATAAGCCATACTTACTCTCAGTACAAGAGAAGAAATCGAAATAATTATGTATCTGCAACAAAACTCCAGAAAATCAAGAAATGAAACCGAGAAAAATTTATTGGAAAAGGAAAAAAGCAAGGGGAAAATTATTAATCCAGCTGAAAGTATCAGTCATGCCATACAAGTAAAGTAAAGTAAACCCCGAGCTGTAATGTTTTATTTTCCACCTAAAACCTAATACACACATAAACCTCACAAAAACCTCAAGAAAACCTCTAAAACACCGCCATGAAAAAATAAGAATCAGGGGCAAGAAACGAACAAAAGAAAGGAAGAAATGAAATCGGTCATGTGAGGGAAAAAATGGATTTCATGTCGCGGAATAAATCAAAACAAGCAGCAGTACAAAGTTATCGAAGATGAAAATGGGCCACTCACGGAACGGTGTCTGAGCAAGAAATCGGCCTTCAGCTCTTCGGCTATGGCGTCACTGTGCGATTCTTCAGCTCTTCCGCAGAGGGTGTGTCTCAACGCTCCCTGGTCTTGCAACAGTCCAGTTGGGGAATGCTAATATATATGGGGTCTGTCGGGGGAGCACACGCGGGTATACAGCGAGTTAACTCAGTCCTCCTTGTGTTTTGCCAACTTCACTCAACTCCGGTTAAGTGAGACTCGAGTTAAAGGGGTAAAATCATACTCCCTCCGTCCCATTAGAAGGTTCTCACTGTCCTTTTTTGGATGTCCCATTAGAAGGTTCTCATTTCTATTTTAAGAAATAATTAACAATCTTAATTGAAAAATTAATTATTAAATAATAAAAATAATATATGTATAACATCACAATTATCAATACTAGCTACACTATAACATATATCTATTAAAATTATTTCTCAAAATGAACTCGAAGTATTTTATTTAATTATTGCATAAATAACCGTGTCGTTTTGTTACGGGAACCTTCTAAGGGGACAAAGGTAGTTTTGAAAAAGTAGGATAAAAAGAAAATGAAAAGGTATGGATATTAATTTTTAAATGAAAAACTTGCAAATAAAAGAAAGTGTTCCAATATTTAAATACAGAGTACTTTATAAAGAGAAAATTGTAGAAGAGGAACAAATGCAAAGGGAATAGATATTACCCAAATTAATATGTCTATATTATGGCTTTGCGAGATACTCCCTCCGTCCCGTAAAGAAGTTCATAGTTTGACCTACACACATATTTATGTAAGGTAGAGTTTTGTTTTGACTTTCCAAGTATACTCTTATTTTATGTCAAATCAAACAAAAAGTGGGTAAAAAGTAAGGGAAGTTGTGACTTTTTGGTTAAAAGCAATGTTCTAAAAGGCGTAAGGCGTGCCGAGGCGGGACGGCCAAGCCTTGAGCCTTTGGAGCCTAGGCGGGCCTTGGCGGAGCTTAGACGTGAAAAAGCGTTTTAATTATTTATCCTTTATTTTGGCTTTTTTAGAGCAATTTTAAATATTTAAATATAATATTAAATAATACTTTTCTCATTTCTAACAAAAAATATGGGTTGAGTCCTAAATCTAACAAATACGGTGTATAAATTTACCAATTACACAAAAACTAGAACTGCAAAAAGTAGTTTAATAAAAACAAATAATCCTAATATATAACCAAAATAAGGACAATTGTTAAAACGTGACTTGATAACTTACCGATTATAACTACATTCAAACTTTTCATTGTAGTGAACCTAAGAATATATTTATAGTCACTTTAATCTAGCGTTCTGAAAGGCATGAGGTGTGAAAGAGGTGGTATAGTTAAGCCTCCGAAGCCTAAATGAGTTCACGCGAGGATTAGGCAGAAAAGCGTTTTAATATTTACTAATTTATTTATTTTTTAGAAATATTGTACAAATAGTTCAATGATAATATCAATAATGATTTTATAATAATGCTAATAATGGTTATGTAATAATATTAAATATTATCGAGCTTATGTAGTAATAATGGTTTTATAATAATGCTAATAATGGTGAAGTAATTATATAACCGAAGTCTAAACGGTTGATCATTTAGCTTGCATGTAAAATAGGCTAACCAAGTATTGACTCGGGAGCGTAGGTTTGCTCTGGTTTGTAATTTCCATATTTCGTCCCACACCGGATAAAGAGACGTGTTCGTCCTTATTAACGCACTATATATAGCGTACGTCCTCTTTGAATGCAACAAGTGAACGCTCGGCATCTCCTGTGTTCACCAAGCAATGAGCTGGGCTTCTAGTAAGAATCAATTTTTTTATTTTTATGGGCCTGAACGCCTTTTGTCACGCTTGAAGTCTATGTGGGGCGTAACGATCACGCCTTGCGCCTAGGCCCGCCTTTGCGGCGCCTTATCAGGCCTTTTAGAACACTGGTTAAAAGTGGTTTCCTTTAATAAAAATGAGAACTTCTTTTTGGGACATCCATAAAAGAAAAGTGGGAACTTCTTTGAGGGACGGAGGTAGTATAAAATAGATGAATTGTTATGTTATTCCTGAAATTAAAGAAAATATAGAATTGTTTGTTTGAGGTTTAATAAGAGAATAACTAGTTTAGCTTATAATGTGTATCAAGTATGTCATTATGAAAGTCACGAGAGGATTATTTGCATGTTCCTATTATGGCGGGTTAACTTCACTGCTTTCGTCTTGACAACGTCACCCAATTCTAGTTATATGTCGGGATTCGAGTTTCTGAAAAAATGACGGATCTTCTGCAAATTTTCTGGATACCAAAACACCAATACAAATAATTATACGGGATGAATACAACCCAAATAATATATTTATGTAATGGCCTTATGGCATATAAAATAGATGAATTCTTATGTTATTCCAAAAACTAAAGAAATTTTTACTCATTTGTTATAATTTCAGTTACGAAAGGATTATTCACATGTTCCCAATATGGCAGGTTAACTCCACTTCTTTCATTTTGGCAATTCTACCTAACCCTGATTAGGTGTCAATGTTAGAACATATTTTATTGTGTTCAATTTAAGTGTATTTATCTTTGTTTAAAGAGGAAAATGTAGAAGACGAACAAATGCAAAGCGAATAGATGTTACCCAAATTAATATGTCTATATTATGGCCTTGAGAGATATGTAGTATAAAATAGATGAATTGTTATGTTATTCCAAACATTAAAGATAATATAGAATTGTTTGTTTGAGGTTTAATAAGAGAATAACATTTTTAGCTTATAATGCGTATTGAGTATGTCATTACTAAAGGCACGAGAGGATTATTTGCATGTTTCTATTATGACAGGTTAACCGCTACTTTTGTCTGTACAACGTCACCAAACCTTAGTTATGTGCCACAATTCAAGTTTCTTAAAAAATGACGAATCTTGTGCAAATTTTCTGAATACCAAAACACCAATACAAATAGTTATAAGGAATGAATACTACCCAAATTAATATATTTATGTAATGGCCTTATGGCATATAAAATTGATGAATTGTTATGTTATTCCAAAAATCAAAGAAATTTTTACTCATTTGTGATAATTTAAGTTCCAATAATATGGCAGGTTAACTTCACTTCTTTCATTTTGACAATTCTACCTAACCCTGATTAGGAATCTTTTACAAGCTTCTCGTTACTAAAACATCAATTTAAATAATCCCAGGGAATATATGTTACTCAGATTAAATGGCTATGTAATGGCCTTATAGGATATAAAATAGATTATTTGTTATGTCATTCCCAAAATTAAACAAAATTTACTAGTAATAATTTATGTGAGGTTTAATATTTTTTTAGCTTATAATACATCTGTCATTATTTAAGGTACGAGAGGATTATTCGCATTTTTCTAATACGGAGGGCTAACTACTCGGCTTCTATTGTTTTGACTTCACCCAACCCTAGTTAGGTGTCGCGACACAAATTTTAGAAGAAAAGAGCGAATCTCGTGTAAGTTTTCCGGATAACAAAACACCAATACAAATAATTCTAAGGAATAGATGGTACCCAAATTAGTATTTCTATGTAGTAGCATTATGGGATATAAAATAGATGAATTGTTATAATCCTCCAGAAACATAAAATAAAAAATTACAATTGTTTGTTTGAGATCTAATAATTGTTTTAAAAATATAAAACATTTGTCGTTGTTTCTAATACAACGGGTTAACTCCACTTCTTCCTTTTAAGTAACTTCACCCAACCATGGTTAGGTGTCGGGACTCAAGTTTCTAGAAAATAGAATGAATCTCCTGCAAGTTTTCCGGATACCAAAACACCATTATAAGTAATTTTAAGGACTAGATGTTACTCAAATAAATATGTTTATGTAATGGCTTTATAGGATATAAAGTAGAAGAATATATTCTCTTATATTTATTATTCCAAAAATTAAAGAAAATAACAATTTTTTGTTGAGCATTAATAATTGTTTTAGCTTATGTCGTTGTAATGCATCTGTCATTTTTGACTTATAAGAGAATTATTCACGTGTTTTTAAATTGGCCTTTTGGTCAGGATATTACTAAAAAGGACAAAAGACAAAAATATAACATCTTTTTCAAAATTCCAAAAATGTGACATAACATTACAATTAAACCATGCAGTGGAAAGTGACTTCTGTCAAAGTGACTCCTCTGTCGCAGTGACTTCACCGCCGCAGTGACTCCGCCGTCACAGTGACTCTGCAGCTACAGTGGCTCCGCCACCACAGTGACCTCGACGTCCAGTGACTTCGACCGCTACCACCGTCGGCCACCGCCGGCGCCCACCACTTCCAGAGTTCCGGTGACCACCACACCCCATCCCCCTGCCTCACCCAGCCCCCTCCCATGGTCACCCTAACCCCCTGCATCACCCAGCCCACTCTCCCCTACATCACCCAGCGTCCAGCCCACTGCCTCACCCCCGCCCTTTGCCCCTCCGGCACCACCACGCCTGCCCCCCCTTCTACTGCTCTGCCCCATCCCCAACCCCCTCCAGTCTCCCCCAGGCCGCGGCTACCGTTAGCCGCGGCTACCGTTAGCCGCGAAAGCCAACAACAACCGCATAACCCTCAATCCCACTGTTATCGCCGACTTCTGGAGTCCTCATCGACGTTATCGCTTCCAAATTGCATTCGTCGATTCCGCCACCACCATCGCCAACCACCGCCCAAAACCCATTCACGTCCCAAGCCCCCTCCATATCCCCTAGCCCACTCCCCAACCCCTCTGATCCCCTGCCACCTCCCCAGCCCCCAGTCCCACCGTCAACTCCCCCACCTCTGATCTAGCCCAAATCGCACCCAAACAACCAGATCTAGCCCTTACAAGCCCCTTTACTACCGTTGATGGTGAGGCAGAGGACGCTAAGATGGGCGATATAGAGATTCCTTCGAGCTAGGAGAGGCAGGCGAGTTCTTCGACCATGAGAGGTGGACGAGTTCTTCGACCATGAGAGGCGGACGGGTATTTCGAGCAGAGCTAGAGAAGCGATGATGAACAAAGAAGCGAGAGAGAGGTGTAGGGTTTGATTAGTGGGAGGGCAGTATGGTCATTTCAATGCTACTTTGGTCACTTTTCTGTCCATACGAAATCAGATCATGTTTTTGTAAAATGAAAGCTGAAAAGTTATACGTGTGCCATTTTTTCTTTTAAATTTCTGAA